CACAGAGAAAGGGAGGCTGCCTCCAACGTGCCTGGGATGTAGGCAGTTCTGCAAAGTCGCCTCCTCCCACCCCCCACTATCCTCTTCACACTCTTCCTTACCATGCCCTCCCTAACATTAGTCTATAGTCAGTTAAGATACAAATGCTTTCTGAAAGGGGCACCACGTGCCCTAAAGCAGACCAACAGTTACTCAGAGCTACCCTTGGTGCTGGTCCTAAGCTATGTGGAGCACAAGATAGGGAGGCAGCGGAAGGAAGAGAGACCAGAACGGGGCTGAGGACCTAAGGATATGATTTCTAGCCCTCTCTGCCAGGAAGACTCCCTTCATGACCCTAGGCAAGGAGTCAACCTCTAAGATCCTCTGAAATGGGTAATGATGACTCTACCTGATCTTATGGTCACACGTGTAGGACACCTTGAGCAGTCAGGTAGAAGGCAGGAAGCAAAGGTGTGTTCTTTGTAGTTTTCCCAATTGGGGTTACCCTTTATTTGGAAAGGCATCAAGAAACTACTTGTGGGTGACTGGTACATAAACACCCTCAGTGTTTCTGGCTGTGGCCTGAACGTGCACTTTCAAAATGTCTACTGTAAAGTCCCAAACTCACAAATGAAAGTCACCAAGTGACCACGGAGCACATACCAGGCATACTCGCCATGACAGACATAGGGAGACACAGTAGTGATCAGCACATGTAATGGTCGTTGAGCACTTCCTACGCATATTAACTCATTTACCCTCAAAGCAACCTTAGAGATCTAGTACTAATGTGATCTTCACTTTACAAAGGAGGAAATGAAAGCACAGAGATTAAGAAACTGGTGTAGGTCACAACACATGTAGTAGAGCTGGAATTCAACCTCTGGCGGAGTTTCTCTTACTGTGCGCATTTGGCATTATTAAAGCCCTCCGTAGGAACTCCGCGACCTGCCAGTAGGGCATTCTCCAGTCTTTCCCACAGCGTAGGCTAGAGTCCGCTGCTCTCAAGCTGGTGACACTATTCTAAGTCACCTTGTTTTCCAAGTTTCCAGTAAACACATTTGCAGAAATGTCACATTAACTTCCAAGTTTTAAGAGGATTTGGCAACACTGTTGTACGATCTTGAAGAAAAAGAGGTTTTGCATCTCTGTGTCATTACTTCCCCTGGAAACATGGCCCTGAGCAAGAGCAGCACCTGGTGAGACAGCACTGCCTGGGCAAACACAGCTGTGGGGCAGCTGGGAGCTTCCACCTGCAGGTCCATGAACCGCAACGCTGACCATCGTAGCTAATGCGACTTAGACAAACCCTGAACACGTTCTATGTTAAAGAGCCGTGTTAAAAAACAATGTTGTCTTCTCTTACCCACAAAATCGTTCCTAGCTGCTTGAATCTTGTCTCCATCATTGATAGTATAGTATACACTATATGACTTTGAATGCAATCACATACCATTGTGTGTTGGTTACAGTTTCCAAGACTTTGGTTTAAAAATCAAGACTGTAAACCAAGACCAGGGACTGTGGCTCATTTTCTAGGACTGTTTGAAGCTCATAGTAGATGTTCAATAAATCCTTCACAGGTCAAAAAAGTTAACTAGGATGTTTATTAGACATAGACTCACTTAGTAAAAACTGGATTTTATTGACATTTCCTCCACACAACATATGTAATTCCTTTTTCCTATTTTTAAACAGCTTTTATCATCTCATTTTTATTGATATGAGACCCAATAAAGGAAAGTAAACACAAAGCTTTCATTCAAACTGTATGGTCTGGGGGATGGGGAAAGGAAAATCAGCTTGTAGGAAAAGCTTTAATAGCCACAAAAGGAGTAATATCATGATAAGTTTACATGCTTGGTTTGGCTATAATAAATTCAGATAAATCACACATCGCTGTTGAAATCTTAACTGCAGACGATAATGTCCTATGTCAGCTTATAACGCTAAGAAAACGTGGGCTCCTGTCTGGCTGTCATGGCCACTCATTTAATGTGTTTATTAAAGTTGGGGTATTGGCACCATGCACATTGGATAGAGAGGTCTCTTGAAACAGACTGATTAAGAGAAAATCCTACAGAGGAGGAAAGCCATACATGTATGAGCCAATTTTGTATATAACATGATACTATAAAGTCAGTTGTTTAAGACAGATCTCAAGGGCAAGAGTAGTTCAGAAAAACCACTATGATTATGGTGGCGTTTGGAAGTTGTCTCTTAAACTGTCTTTTGAATGTATAATCATCTGAATCGATAGCCTTCTTCCTTACTTAGATCCCAGGATCTGGAAAGTTGAGCCCCATCTGTGGACACCTCTGGGATGAGCAAAGGGCCCAGACTTTGAAGTCGGACAAACCTGGCCTTGAATTAATCTTGGCTCTCATATGTATTAACATTGGGACCCTGGGCAAGTTTACTTAATCTGGGTTGGGGTTCCCTTCTCTGTAAAACCAAAAATGCAAATGCTGCAGTATGGCTTTGAGGGTTAGAGACAACATAGGTACAGTACATAGAACAGAGCTGAATACATAGTACTGGCAGCTTAATCAGGGGTCACCTAAGAGTTGGAGAGTCCGTTTCCCAGTAGGCCCGTTCTCAGCCTGGTTTAAGGTGAGTGTGGAGGAAGGGCTAACTGCTCGTCCGTCTGCAGAGGCCTCTGCCTCCGAGGGCCCACCTAAATGGGTTTGCACCATGACCCGGGCTGAGGGCCCCAGTTCCTAGAGCAGAAGCTCCCCCCAGCTTTAATGCACGTCTCATTACCTGCAAAAGGTCCGGGACTCCAATCAGGTTCCAGATGATGCCCATGTGGCTGGTTTCCAGACCACAGTCTAACTAGCAATACATCTACAGTCTAACTTCCAGGACAACCAGAGTTCACAAACCAAGGCACACCCAGTACTTTTCCCTGCTTAGGGGTCACAAACAAGATGGGGGGCAACTGCCAACCAACTTTGTCTTTAAGTGGTTACTAACTTTTGGTGGGGTGTACTCACTGAACCACACGAGAGAGGCTTCTAGAGTATTAGAAATGTTCCACGTTGACCCAGAGTGGAGGCTGCATGGATGCATACATACCTAACCATGGAGTTTAGACCTGGGTACTTACTGTCACTTATAACTCAATTTTGGGGGGAAAAAACCTAAATGGAAAATGAAGGAATGAGAATGCAAAGAAAAAAATTACTAAGTTATGGAAGTAGCATAAAAACAATGGAATACGCACAGAGCTCTCGATTCCCATAAAGGAAGTAACTTAAACCCAAATAACTTTCAATATTCACAGGGACCATTTTCTCCAACCAGAAATATCCTCTGCCATTCCTCTTAATGAAAATCCATCAAGACACTGCTCGTGTCTTTTGTCTTTGAGAGTCTAAGTATGGAAGAAACCCTGTTTGAAAAATCTAGGGGGGAAAACACCACAGTAACAGCGTAACAAAGGAAGTCAGCTTAGCGTACACAGCAGGCACCCCTGGTTCCTGGACATTGGACATGCATTCCGTAACTGCTGCTGATTTACGTGCAGTCCGGCCTTCAGGGACAGAACGAATGAGCAAACCATTTCAGGGACACTGTCCACACTAAGCTAGAGGCTTTGTAGGGTGGAGATGGGGAAACAACGCGTCCAAAGAAACACTGTGGTCATGAGGATGACACACGGGGCCGGGCCCAGGCAAGCAGCTCTGATGCCAGCACCATCAGGTCACCACACTAGCTGGGTGACCTTGCTCACCCAGGTAACCTCTTCCAGTCTGTCCCTGCCAACTCAACGCACCTCCCTCCTCCTTCTCTCACCCGCGCATATTGTTTGGTGCCCACCATCACATCCCAGAAAAGGCAGCTCTTCCCAAGGAGTGACCTGTTAGTTCACCTAAAAGATCGTCATCATTCCATCGCCAAGGACAGACTGCAAAGCAGGGTAAAGCTGCAAGTGATGGTGTCTCTGTACTGCTAAACTGAGTAGCCCCGAAACCACTTACACCTGAGCTTTTTGAGCACATGCCATCATGTTTCTTGCAGCTGAAAACACTGGTTGATTTATCCACTATAACATCATAAATAGCAAAACTTCCTTTTCAAGTCCACTCCTGGGGGTTGCAGCATTACCTAGTACTATCCCTTGCTTATCTTGGCACCACAAACACTGAGTGGTTCCCAAAGACAGAGGCAGATTCCGGCGTGAGTGTGGGATCCCAGGACCTTCCCACAGCCCCTTTAAAAAGCAGGGAACTAATAAACGCTTAGGGGTGCATGCCTCCTCCATCCAGTGAGAGCACGGAACAGAAGCCAAGACTTCAATGGTGAAAAACACATCAACCCTCACCTCCCAACAGCTGCGAGCAGCAAACAGTGCCTCCCTACTTTTCTGAGAGTAAAACCACCTGGGGAGCATTTTCCAACTACAGGTTCCCTAGCTCTCTCCAAGCTTAGCTTCAGCAAGTACCTCCGTGAAGTGTGGGCCATGTTTTCGGAAAGGCTCTCCCTCTCTTTGTGGCTCAACAATCTTGACTTTTTATTTTCACTCAACACACCCATATCAACGGCCCGCAGCCCTCCCCCCATCCCTTTGCCCACAGAGGCTGGAACAGCTTTACACCCTGTCCCTGTAGAAGGTCACGGGATAGCCGAGGGCCAAAGATTTACTTGGCGTTGTGTTTTCAAAACAAAACGCAAAAGCAGCCGTTCGTCTTTGCCTTACTGTTTAGACCCACAGTTCAACCCACTTTCCTTATAAACTTTCAATCTCTTCCCCTTCATTCCCTCCACGCAAGTATTCTAAAGGACAGTAAACAGCCTCGAGATCCTAGAACACAGATTCTAGGTGCAGAGTCTAGGGTGCCCGTGGCTGCCCTGGCCCAGAAATCACACAGGAAGGTTTGCACTACGGGTCCCAGCGCGTCCCAGCACGTCCCAGCGCGTCCCAGCACCCTCAGCGCACCTCCAAACCCCTCCTTTGCAGCGCCGCCCTCCCACCACCCAAGGCGCACAGTGGTGACTCGGCAGAGCCCGAAGCTCACCTGAAACACGTGGTGAGTTCGCCCGAAGCCTTCAGACACGGGTATTTGGTCGTGGTGATTTTGTTTTCTGAGCAGACTTCTCTACGAAAAAGAGAGGCGAAGTCGTCGGTTTTCCGCGTGGGAGCGCAGGTCGGTGCGCGCTGGAGGAGCCGTGTCCCGGCGCGCGGAGCGGGCACTGAGCCCCGAGCGCGGACCCCCAGCGAACTCCGGGGTCAGGGGCGGGCCAGGCGACGGTCCGGCCGAGCGAACCCAGCCCAGGGGGAACAGGAGCTGAAGAAGCGGATCACAGGAGAGCAGCAGGAACCCGCGCGGGGCAGGGGCATCACGCATGGGGGAAGCCCAGGCTGAGGGCGCGGAGGCTGTCACCGAGGGAAAGAATTTAGTGTCGCCCGGGACAGTTGAGCGCCCGGCCGATTACTGACGGAGCGAGGGTGCGCGGATCGCTGCGGAGGTGGGGGGACATCGCCTGCATCCCGAGAGCCGGGCGTGCACCAAGCAGGGGCTGCCAGAGCTTACCTGTCACTGTTCTCGGGCTCCTCGCGGTAGCTCCACGTGTGTCCCAGAGCCAGGAGCAGCAGCAGCGGACCCAGGCTCTTGGCCAGCTGCTCCCTCGCCGCTCCTCCCCGGCTCGGAGGCGGCGGCACCATCAGGGACGCTCCCGGCTTGCTCCCGGCTTCTTCCCGGCACCGGAGCCCTCTCCCTGCCCTGCGCTCGGTTCCTCCGCGGCCGCCGCAGCCGTCCCTCTCCCCGGCAGGGGGTGCTAGAGGGCAGGGGCGCTTGCGCCACCTGTGCGAGGCAGAGGGACTCGGGGTGCTCTGAGGCTGGGGGACCAGGCTAGGGGTTGGGGTGCAGAGTGCAAACTCGATAGACGGGCAGGTGAACGCGGCTCACGACGTGCCCGGCTGGCGCGAGGGTCGCGGGGTCCAGGTCGTCTCGCCCAGGGCGCGCGCGCCGAGTTGACAGACTTGCTCTACTCAGCTTTGGGCTGCGCCCTCCCTCTCGCCTCTTCCTGGGCTGCGAGAGAAGAGCAGGGTGCGTAAAGCAGGCGGCTGCTCGCATTTTACATCAGGGTCGCCCGACCGAGAGGAGGAGGAGCCGCTTCTCCCCCGGGGAAAAGGGCGGGGGGGTGCAGAGAGGTTAATACGCTTCCTTCCTGTCGTCAGTTGATTTCTAATGACCAGAGTCAGGACGTTTGCTTTCCCTCCTCGCGCGCCTGCCCCGTGTTTTCCCGCCGCCCAGTTTTCTCTGAACGGTGGAACGAGGTGTGGAGAGACTAAGCGGCCCTCCCGAACTGCCTTTCAAACCTGACATAGCACGATCACTAGTCTGTCATCATTAAAACCCCTTAGAAGGGTCCTCCGGTCGCTCCATTCGTTAACAGGGCCGCTAGCTTCTTCCTAACTGAGATAAAAATAAGTAACGACCTCCCAGGGCTTCTTTCTGGGAATTTTAAATCCTCTTGCCCTGAGCTCCTTTAATGTTGTTTGAATGCCACGCACACACGTGAGAGCTGCAAACTCCTGGAAGATCCGATGAGAGGGTGAAGTCCCCCGCCCCTGCCCGCGTTAACCAGGCGGTGTTTTGGGGGTAGCCTGAAAACCAGGCGGGGGTTTTGGGGGAGTCAATGAGCTCCTGCGGTGGGGACTCAAGCTGTCATTCGCACAGGTCTGCATCTTAACACTTTATTGCACATGAGGAGTTCCTGTGCCTGGTAAAGAGAAGCTCATGACCTAAACGTGCCCCGCAGAGGCAAGCGAGCGGTCGTGGCCCAGAGACAGCTGGAAGGGCAGGAGCCTGCAATGCCTAGTCTCCAACAAACGCTCGGCTTTGCACCTTCCAGGACGGCGAGAAGAAAGGTAGCCCGTTCACAAGTTACCAGAGGGCTAACTGGTTAGGACCGCAGGTGTCTTTTTGATTCAAAATATTCTCATCAACTGAGAATTACCAGGCATATCACATACACCTTGACACTCTTAATAGCAATGACCTCCTCGTTCCTTTGTAGAATGCTTCTATATTTTACAAAGGGTTTTTTTTTACATTTGTTTATTTAATTTTTTTATATTATAATTATTTTTAGATACCCAAAATAGTCCTTGAAGCTAGGAGTTCAGTGAGGTGTTTTTGATTTTTTTCCTACAAATCTTATATAGACACGGGAGACCGTAAAACACAAATATTAAAATATGGAGCTAAACAAAATAAATGAATGTTCACGTGGTAATTCAGAAGACTTCAGAAACTGCAAAACCTGAGTGACGTTTATGGAGTCAGGAAAAAAAAACAATGCCCTTGATTTAAACCCAAGCTGTGGGCTTCGTAGGTGTGTGAACTTGGGCAAATTATTTAACCTTTCTGAAAGTCAGTTTTCTCGTCTGTAAAATGAGGAAGCCTCTATCATAAATGTTTGTGAGTATTAGACGGGGTAATGCATATAAAGCATTTTCACGTTGCTGGGCATATATTGAGTGCTCAGTAGACATTAGCTATTGTTATTTTTAACAAATTTTTGCACAGACTTTTCAGTTTTAACCTTTATGCTTTCACTTTCTGGATATATAGGAGTTTATTTCACAACAGTTTGGGTTACTAAAGAAGCAGATATCTCTCTAAGCACATGAAAAATAAACCCATCTTAGAGCTTATGAAAATTGTATCACTTAAGATTTGACCCACAAAAGTGTTCAATCTTCACCTCGCGGGGAAGAGGCCATCCTATAACAGGTCCTATTTTTATTTTCTTACCAAGTACTCAATTTTGGTATCTTGCTCTCTCTTTTGTCATTTTTACTCCTTTTGTTTTTCTGCAGTTGCACTGTGGATGTTAATTCCACAAACAATAGAGAATAGTGTAGGAGATTAGTTATCAGCTTCATTAAATAGTTAATAAGCCACATATGGGAACATGCAGGCTTGCTGAGCAAGTAATTCAGGCTGCAAATGATAAAAGTAATTATGCACAGCTGCGTGGCAGAAGCTCGGACACAGAGCCAACTTTGCCACCTTTGTATTTTGAGCCCCCTACACTGAGCATAGATCAGAATGGAGCGTCAGAGAAGGTGCTGGCTGGGGCCATGCAAAGAGCCCAGGTTGGCCTGGGGACACGATCCCGAGGGTGGGAGGGTGGTCAAAGCGTTCCTGGAAGAGGTGAGTGGGCGAGTTGGAGCAGAGACCTTTTGAAAACCTTTGCCTGGAGGCCTGGAACTTAAACTAATTGGCCGCTTCTGACAGCAGGACACTCTGTCTGCCTGAGGGGCTGGCTGGAGAGCAAAGCCAAGCAGAGGAGACGTGGCTGCCATGTATGGATACCAGTCCCCTGAGAAAGTAAACACTCTTATAAAAGAGAAAACCTGCATCTGCTCAGGCTGCAGCCCTAACAGGACAGGTCAGAATGAGGCTGAGTGTACCAGAGAGCGTCGTGCTGGGAGCTGATTGGTCAGAGGTGAAGTAAGGGGATGAATCATTTCTTCAGGTCTTAGGGGCAGCCCAGAGGTCCTTGTCAGTGTCCCTCTGTCTGGTCTCATGCAAAAGTAGCCAGGGGGTCGGTCCACCTTAGGCCTTAGGAGCCAAAACATAACTTTGGTCAAGATGTTATCTTCAGCCTGCCAGAGGTCTGGGCCTTGTGACAAATATTCAGGTCCCCGGCTACTGTCTTCTGCTGTCCTCTGGGTTGCTGATTACCCTGGGGAGAGGCTAGGTCTCTGAGGGGTATTAGATGTAGAAACAGAGAGATGATTCCTAGAGCCAGGATTTAAAACTAAATTTAATCCAAGTCATGAGGACCCTTGATTTTACCCTCATTTATGAAATACTGGATGAGTGGACTCGCCTCCAGCCTCTCCCAACAGAGCGTTACAAAGATTAATGCTATGGACCTAAATGCTCCTCGGGGAGGCTCTGTATGATTATTTCTTTTCAGCATATCACTCTCCATGATGTTTTCCACATAGACCTGTCAGCTTCCCTGAAACAAACCAGGGAGTGGATAGTTATACAATTTACCATATTCTGGGCTGCGGGCCTGCATCCAGGGCTTGAAGGCATGGACCGTGCTGTGTGTTAGACCCCCGGTGGCCCGCGGTGTTGTTGAGGACCGCTAAGCACTTTCTGGAGAAAGAGGGGCGGGGAGGGAGACGGGAGGGCAGCTACAGAACGCAGAAGCCAGCATGCAAACCAAAGTGAAAGCAAAAAAGGGAAGAAAAGCTAGGCATAGAACGGAGAGTGTCCTTCTAAATAAAACCAATGAACCTCTTCCACTCATTTTTTTTTAGCTTTTATTTATATTTCAATTGAGGCAACATTGACATATAACATTAGTTTCAAGTATACAACATAATGACTCACGATATGCACATACTGAGGAACAATCGCCACAATAAGCCCAGTTCACATCCATCGCCACACAGTTACACTTTTTTCCTTGTGATGAGAACTTTTCAGATCCATTCTCATAGCAGTTTTCAAATATACAGTACTATTAACTATAGTCACCATGCTGTGCCTTGCATTCTCATGGCTTATTTATTTTATACCTGGACAGTTGTATCTTTCTGTCACCTTCGCCCATTTTACCCACTCCTTTTTAAGAGGCTCCAGCATCTCTTTTGGAGAAAATCAACATAGTATTAGAAAAGAGAGATCAATTTAAAAAATTAAAGGAAAAAAAACCCCAACCAACCACCAGCCATTGGGGGCACAAATCTTTTCACTATACTTGTTTTAAGTTTTCCTAATTAAAAATGTTTCTGGTGGCTGACAAAAACACATACTATTTTACAGTATATAGTATACTGTATTAATATAGTATAGAGCAACACAATAAAGCAATTAAGGCAAAGGGAAAAAATACAGATTGGACAATAAAACGAAGCTGATGTGAGGTCCATTGGCAGGACTGTGTAAGCAGAAAGTCCTGTGCTGCGTTTAAAGCAGATCACAAATCAGGTCTCAGGTTCTCAGAAGTCCATTCAGGGTAATTACATGATCAGTTACAAGATTCAAGGTAGCCATAAAGGGAAAACCTATAAATTCCTTGAAAAAATTATAGATTTTTTCTGTAGGTCTTCCTGAAATGTTACAACAGCTATCTACTGTCAGATTAACGTCATCCACAGAAACAAGACTCAACAGTTGTGGGTAGAGTTCTCACTGAATTGTGTGTTATACGTACAACATAATATCTCAGCAATAAACAGGTTGCCTTGATACCTTTCCTTCAGTTTCAGTTTTGATTGACATATGGCCAGGTCAGCTTAGAGAATTAGGGTGACACCTTGAAAAGTATTAAAGTGCACCAGTCTCCAAGCCATTGTGAGGAAATGCTTCAGGCAAGAACAATCAAACGTGTTAGTACAGATAAAGGGTTTGGAAGCCCTGCTCTGGGGGTATGTGCGTTCTCTTTGCACTTAGTCTACCTTCGTTTTAACCTGCAGTATGATGAAGCTATGGGTCTCTGGAATTTTCTCCCAAGACAGAAGAAACATCTGATTCCTATATTTATGACAAAATCACATCATTTTTTGCCGAACTTTGAACTAACAGGAGTTTTAAAAGATTAGTTAGCCTTATGTGTATATAGGCTGCTCAAAGAAAAATGTACAAACACCACAAAAAAAGAAAACCTTCTTGTTACTTGATTGAGTGCCTCAAAAAAAAAAAAATCAAGAAAAAGTATTCATG